GGGGGGGGGGGGGTCCAGCCTAAAGAGTTCCAGCCACACTGAAGCAAAGGCCAGAAATGTTTCTGAAGAAATCTCCTACAACTGAACCAGAAGCGCCAAACTTTTCAAATGAAAATCTGCAATGTGAACACTAATTTGTCAAGTGGCGCATTCCTTTGAAGTGCCAGATATTATTAGTAGGTTGTCAATCAGCATTAAAAACAAAAAAAACAAAAAAACAGTGCATCATCATTCTTGAATCACTTAGCTAATTGACAAGATCAGTTTCAATTCTGCAAAGTGTATACCACTTAATGCAACTGTTGAGAAAGTTAGGAATTCTAAAAAGCTTAACTTGTTTTTGCACATCAATTCCCTCTTCTGTCTCTTTTTCTCTCTATAAATATGCACCCTGGTATCAGCCAACATGAGTGTAAAAGGTCTGACACTGGTATCGGACACGTGTCCCCATTTATCATAATTTATGTGAAATAATGTCTGCTATAGAAAGCCTAAATCCACCCTCCCCTTTTACAAGGTCAACATTCATTAAATACTAAATAATAGTCCTCCCAGAGAAACGTAGCTGGCTCATGTAAACCCTAGAAGTACCAGGTGAATTTATCAATGCAGCAGCAGCAGTTATCAGAGATGAGATCTTGATGGCTTGCACCGATTGTGTGGCTCACACACACAAACACACCTGTGATTGATTGTACAATATTGTTACCTCCAAAACGTTCACACAGCACCATGCTGTATTCAACATTTATCTAAGCTAATTTCCTCCTTAAATAAATGCATCTGGGTTTTCTTAATGTCACCACCTTTCTTCATAACCCTGTGAGCAATGCAAAGATTCCAACAAAAATAAACAATATCTTCACTGTGGCAAGACAACGTGATGGGCTCTGCAAGCTGCACTCATTTCTTCATGCATGCTAAGACGCATTTCACAGACAAAATGAGTCTTAACACATATTGTGGCTGATAAAAAAGCATTGTATCGCTGGATGCACAGGTGTATTGCTGATTTCTCTTCGCATACTTCATCATTGGATCACTGCAAAATAAGTGCCTTTGTTATCATATAGGAGAATAATATGGAGCTGGCCTGCAGATCTGATCGATAAAAGCGCCATCCATCCCTGCTGTGCTCGGAACAGTGGCTTGGCACATGAACCAATGACAGTCTTGCATAAACTAAATCAGTATATTAATGTTACTTGTCACAAAACACCCACGTCGGCTAGTTTAACGCCCGTAACATGCGTTTTATTGCCGTTTATTTGGTTTCTCACCCATCGCTGTCATCTTGGACGAGGGCAGCCCGAAGAGACGCGCCGTTCCTGATGGCGATGCTACAAATGTAGATGGTTTAGCAGGACATTTTTGATACAGGAAGGATATGTTTGACAAATTTCGACGATATTGTGTGGCCTCGTTGTAGGAACGAGGTCGTAGTACGTGGTCAAAGCGAAACACATCGTGAACAAACAACGTAAACACACCACGACGCGGAAGGAAGGAAGGTCCTAGTTAAATCCCCACTCACACAATGCCAGCCCCGACACGACGAGCAGTGCGTGCTTCAGATAAATAAAACCGCGCAGACATTTCTGGATAACCCATTTTAAACTCAAACTCACGTTGTACAGGCACAAAACGTGGCTCCTACTCGGTGTAAATAAAGTCACGGACACACACACACACACACACACACACACACACACACACACATACACACGGGCTGGGCCTCGGTATGTTTCCCCGTCAGAGCTTCGAGGCCTCGCTGCAGCCGCGGCCCCCAGTGATGCGACATTTGCGCACACGCGCCCCACACACGGCTCGCTCTCCCCGCTGCTAGCTTTCTATTTTCACATATTTCTTACCGGGTCCGAGCGCTTCCATGGCCGTGGCCTCTCTCTCCGTCTCTGTCCCGGCCTGGCGGCTCCGTACCGAGGCTGCTATTGGGGGCGGTATCGCGAAGCTTAAAGTGGCTAATTTAAGAAAAGGGAATATAGATAGATGCGTGGACGACTGCTGACAGAACTAACTGACCTGAGCTATCGCCGCTACTGCTGGATCTGGGGATTTGTAAGTGCGCATGCGCTGGTTAGAAATCGTAGAGCCCGCTGTGCGCATGCGTAATTTGCTGTACCGCTATAGCAGATGCGGGATAATAGGATACAGTAAACCTCATGTATATAAGACAATATACAGTATATATAAATATATATGTACATCGTGAAAAATGCATTTAAATAGTTTAAGCACATTCACTCAAATACTGTACTTTGATCCTAGTTGAGTAATTACTCAATTACTCAATTAATTGAGTACATTTGCAAATAGCCGACTGTATTAGGCTACTTCAGTGATTCCGTTTAATGCTAGTTATGAATAAATGATGACGCCTTATTATAAATTTAGCTAACTAGCAGATTATAAAGTAACTTAAATTGTCCCTTTCACATTGATAGATAATATACCAATGTATATCCAATAATACACGGTCATATATTTATAAATTAGGCTATTCTCTGAAATGATTCATTTCACTTTTGGTATCTTAAGTATATTTTGAAGGTTATTTTATAAACTTTTACTTGTTACAGACTATTTCAGACTATTGCTTTGCAAGTTGCAGACATCACACTGAATGTGCACAATGTCTCATCTGTTGAGGAGCCTATTTTGAATGTATATTACCTGGTGGCAATTCTTATCGTGTAACGTGCACGTTCAGAGAAGAAGATCATTTTGTCAATGTTAGATCAATGTTTCACGGCCTTCACAGATGTACTTCTCAGTCTTTACCTTGGTCATTTGGTAAATATCCTGACCAACAGGTAAATTCATTAAGTGGTGCATGGCCGTATCCCCACATAACCATGTGGTTGATTCCCACATTAATAGCGATTGAAGCTAATCTCTGAAAACGATTTTTATGGAATAATGCAGAGGGATCATGTATACACCGGGGAGAGAAATAAGTATTAATTAATTTCTTAATATCTTGTGTTGTTATATCCATGACCCACGTGTGTATATTTTTTTTGACACGTTTATATTTTGAATTGCATCTTACTGTTACCCAGTTATATTTGTGACACTTAACGTTGACCTGTTGACATCTCTGACATTGTGTACATTTGATTTAGCATCTTTCTGATTATTCTTATTGGTTATATTTAGTTTTATGGGCACTGTTACCGACTTTGTATCGCAACTGCTGCACAACAATTTTGCAATGCAAAATCTTTGAGCCCCGCCCGCCCGAGCAGTCCCGGGCTTTAAAATCAGCTCACACCAAGCCATGTCGTCAAACTGGGTGGATACAAACGTCCCCAACAGACCAATAGGATTGCGAGAAGAGGGCGATTGACACCTCTGTGAGGAAAAACTGCGGGCCAGCTGTCACGGCGCGCGAAAGATCAAAATTTAACGTTCTATTCGGTGTGTATGGAACAGGCGGGAGGAAGAGCAACAGCCCAGATAAAGGATTTCTAAATATGCTTTAACAGTCTGAAATAGACTTTGTCACGCAGACATTTGCTTTTTGACGTCTGCGGACATTCGACGAAGCGTTGTGTCCGCTGGTTTATTTTACTAAAGAGCGTAAACTAGCCCGGCGGACAAAGATGAGCCTGGTCGTTTCTCAACAACAGGTGAGGAAACGAGTTCACATATCGGTCGCTATATTTGACATCTAACGTTATTTCAAGGGAAAGTATGAGTCGGACATATATGTCGTTAGTTATGTAACTTTAATGGGCAACGACTGCCACGGTCCGTAGCATTCCTTTAAAATAATATGCTAGTTGCAGATCTAGTTAGCGTTCGCTAGCTAGCTAGCTAGCTCGCTAGGTTAGGTTTAGCCAGCTGGGATGGTGGTTGTAGTCTTGGCCTGGTCACGTCTGTTAAATACATGGTAGTCATTTTACTTAACCTACACTGTTAAAATGGTAAATCTAATCAGATTATGATCTTGGGGGATTGATTACTCACGGAAATCAATCACTTTTTATATATACTGTGTTTATATAGCTATATAGCATGTAACATTAGCTGGCTAAGTTAACTACAATCGTTGAAAGAAATCAATGTCGCAAACGTACGTGCTCATTGTTTAGTTTATTACAATGTGCCACTAATGTAATTTAACATCCATCTGGCTGCTTCAAGTCACACAATCGAGTGACAGGCTTCATGTTGACTTTGCAAAGAAACTATCTTTTCGTGTATTTATTTTTTTTTTTTTGACAAATCCACACACGCTTTAAGTTTGGCAACCCACAGAATGTCATGCAGGGAGTTGGACAGCCATTGATGTTTGCAGTCTGCTGCCGCTTTAACCGTGCCATTAATACCCCGTCCCTTTTAGATTTCACTAAAGTATGGTTACAGGAGGCATACACAAAGCAAGATAAGCCACCCTGAACACTATCATTTAGCAGGGTGTGCCTTTTTCCTATAAACAGACATCCCAAACCGACTGCAGTTACTCCACACTATAGAAAATGCACTTCATGATGGGTGAAATCTGTTCATTGTACCCAGGTTGAGAGGCTCCCGGCTGTGGCCCAAACGGCAACGGAGAGTGATTCAGACAGCGGGATGGGCTCTCCAGCAGAGGAGATGGTCACTGAGACGGCAAACAAAAGAGAAGAGCTTCCAGGTGAAGTACCAAAACAATGGATGGTAATCCAGCTTGAGACAGCGCAGGAGAGACTTTGGCTGTGTAAATGAGGGATAACAGTAATGTTAATGTCTCTACACTTACGGTGAACCTGTACCATTTACATTACACAGTTTGTGTTTTTAGCGGACTCTTAATCACAAAGCTTACAATAGGTGCATCAGTCCAATTACTATTTGACTGCCATCAAGTGATCTACAACATTCTCCTGACAACAAATATTCCTGTGTAAATTCTCTAAAGGTGTAAAAAAAAATTGCCATTGCCAATTCATATTTGCCTTGTTCTCTAAATTGTTATTTTGTTTTCAGATTCTGACGAGGATGAAGACATCACGGTTCACAGAAAGCCTCACCGTAATGCCATTAGAGACACTGACAGCGAGGAGGAGGAGGAGGCCGCTGTGGAGAACAGCGCCTACATGGCCGAAGCGCTGGTCTTATCTGCTTCCAGCGGGGAGGAGATGGAGGAGAGAGAGAAGGATGAGAGGAAAGAGAGTGGGGCGCCGAAGAAGAGCAAGAGAATAAGCCGCGCTCCCATTGACAGCGACGACAGCGAGCCGGAGCAAAGTGGAGGAATTAAGGAGCAACAGGAGGAGGTAAGGAAGGAGGCAAAATCGATGAAGGAACCGAAGAAGAGAGAGAAGAGCCAGAGGCACCGGGAGAAGAAGGAGAAGCGGAGCAAAGCTGTGGAAAAACTGAAGAAGGAGAGGCTCTCTGAAATGAATGAGGTTAGTGAAGCTCAACCTTTTTCTCTCAGTGGTGTTTTCTTCTTGTTGTTGTTGTTATTATTATTATTATTATTATTATTATTATTATTATTATTATTATTATTATATTCTAGTCTGGAAATATGTGGAGAAAAAACTATTTCTGACACCTTTATGTCATGATGAGTTTAGAAACTGCACATACACCATGTCTTACTTTATTTATTTATATATATATATTAATTAATTAATTAATTAATTATATACTGCTGTACGTTTTTCTGCATATTTCACATTCTAATATTTGTATCTATTGGAATTATTCTTTATGTAAATGGTGATAAGGCAATATGCATTTAATATTGAAGTGGAGAACCCAAATTATCAAATCAAAAACTTAACATCTACACTAAGGAAATGAAATGTTAAACTAAGCAGAATCAAATAATTGTTAAAGAATAATAATCCTTGACGTGGATCATATTTATTAAAAAAAAAATAAAAAATCCCCAGGACACGCCTCTCCCTCGGGCTCTGAATGACAGTGGGGCTCTGAATGACAGTGGGTGTCTGCTGGGCGACACAGACCTGTTTGACACCGGTCTGGGCGATGAGGACGAAGAGTCTCTCGAGGCTATCCGAGCTGCTGTCAAACAAAAGATGAAAAAACACAAGGTACAAAAATAGATGACTGTTTCCAATATTAAGGGTCAGAACAAGCCCTTTGTTTATATGTAAAAGCTTTCAGCAGGAATGTATGCCATTGCTTGTTGGTATCACGGCTCAACTGATTGGTGCTCATAGTACTGGGAACAGATGTTGCTCGTGACACTTTGGTGAAAATGCTGTAGTGATGACCGATGTTGTCCCGACAGGCCTTTTGTGTAATCGGTGTTTTTAAATATTGCTGCAGGATCCTTTCCTGGATGAGGAAGAGGATGAAGAGGAAGATGGAGCAGAGAAACCCCAGCGTGTGGTATGCAGCGACAAAATGCTTACATTTATTCTTTCACGTTAATACCAAGAAAAAGCTGTTTGATTCTCAATGTGTGATGGTTTCAGGAGAGGAAAGCTGCGCGCGCCAGCAAAGAGGCAATGAAGCAGCTCCACAGTGAGTCTCAGAGGCTGGTCAGAGGTCAGTTTACAACGAACTTTACAACTTCTATTGATTCAACGTGTGAACTGTTTTTCTGATGATTATTTATAATTTGATACCTGCGATTCAGACTATAAAAGGGGAGTCTCATGTCTTCCATTGCTACTGAGACGCCATCTTTGACACGTCCGTCTGTCTTTGTCTTAGAGTCCACACTTGGCCTGCCCTACCACGTCCCTAAGCCGAAGACCATCGACGAGTTCTTCAGGAAGAGAGCCAGGCCGGAGGGTCCTGCCATGGCACTGTTGAAGTAAAGACGAACACAACGGATAACGCACACACATGCGTCAGAGCAACAGTTGGCCGCATTGGCCGAACATTTCCATCCATAGTCACAATTTTACCTGAAAAAAAAAAATCTGATTTTATAAAAGACAAGTGAACTACCAAAGTGTATGTATGTGTGTGTGTGTGTGTGTGTATATATATATATATATATATATATATATATATAAATATAAAATCATACATAAACAGCATTCTCAATCAAGTTTCAAGGCTGCCCTAATAAATAAATAAAGATGAGTGATAATCTTATTTCCTTCAGATCCACAAAGTATTCAGCCATGATGTTGGAGATGCCATCGGCTCCTCCTCCACCCAGTGAGCCTCTGCAGCCATCCGCAGAGCAGGACTCCTCTCTAGATCTGTCTTCGACTCAGATCCAGCCCCTACCTCACCCCGCCGCCACCTCGTCCCCGCAGCAGGAGAGCCTCAACCAGGCCAGAGAGGCAACAGCGAGCCCAGATCCCGACCAGGAATCCGGACCGATGCTTTACCTCTCCGAGAGTCTACAGGAGTCCAACACAGCAGACGGAGGGTTGAAACCTGTTTCTGATTCTGGAGTGGAAAAGCCTCCTGCACCCTCGGAGCAAAACCAGACTGCGGTGTTGTCTGACTCTGAAGCCCTGCAGAAAGAGCCCATGTCCGATCCGGCCGCAGCAGAGCCTTCAGTACAGCGGCCCAGCAAACCCAGGGAGGACAAATTGGCCAGACTGAAGAGGCTCGGACTGGACCCCCCGCCTGTCGCTAAATTGTGTTCAGATGACGGAGCCTTTGTTGAGCTCGAGCCTCCGCCGCTCAACCCAGGTGAGCGCCGATTCTTTTAGGATTTCAGCCGAATAAGAGGATACAAAGCGTAGTAAATCAGAATTAACCCATCTACGGTCACATTTATCGCCTCTCTTCTTCAACCAGGTGTGGAGGCCCTAAAGGAGCGTTACCTCCGTCACGTCAAGGCACCCGCACGCCCTCAGGGAGAGCGAACCATGCAGCTCAACATCGTCCGCAAAGACAGCGCCCCGTCTGGCCAGGAGGAGCTGCGCTCCGAGTCAATCACCATCATCGTTAAAGACGGAGCAGAGGAGCCCGCGGCAACCAAACCAGGTGTGGATGCACTCGGGAGACTCGGGGAGACCAGATTGTTGACCTCTGTTAGCGGCATCGCTAATATCCTCTGTCTCCCCGTTTCACAGGAGAGAAGCTGCTGACTCTGAAGCAGCGCCTGCAGCTCGCCATGGCCCAAAGGAGGCAGGAGGAGAGGGTGCGCAGGGCCGAGCTGAATCGCCTCGACAACGAAGACTGTGGGGAGGAGGAAGAGGAGGAGGACGAGATGACCGATGAGTCTGAGGAGGAAGAGGTAGGGGGAAGGTTTGCTGCTTTGGAGCAATCAAATTGCTTTGTACATTGTTCTCACGTCAAGCCCGATCTTCTCTTCTTTTTTTTAAACCAGAATTTAGATGACTTACTGGGAGGTGATGGCGGTGAGGAAGAAGAGAAGGAGCATGAAGATGAGGAAGGCAGTGTCGCCCAGAGTATGAGGAGTCCTTCTCCCGTGGCACTGAACGAACCCTCTGACCTCATTAATTCAGACAGTACACTCATGCTGTTCCCCGGCAACTCCTGCTCTCGTACCGGGTAAGTGCAGTTTGAGTTTATAGTCGTGTGTGTCTTTTATGGTTTTCACATTGTAACTTTGTAAGTGACTCTGGAGAATGCACTAGAGAGCTGCCTTAAATTAGTTGACAAATGGTGAGTTAGTGTCACTTACTTAAGCATTGCAGTATTGTCCCATTTAGGGGGGGGACTGCTCTTAAAATACCTGAAATAGTGAAAAAAAACATAACAATTTATAATTCTTGTAGTTTCATATTTGTATGCACTGTGTATCAATGCAGTAAAGCTTCACTTGCACTGTTCTCCTTCTCAGTGATGGCGTAAGAAGGTCTGGTGCTTCTGGACAGGACAGCAGCAGCAATAAGATGGGTGGGTAGAGTGAGACTAAAGCATAGTTATCATTAGTTATTCATGAGAGATGATGCTTTAAATGGAGTGACAACAATAGTTTTGAATCCGCCTGAAAATGCTCTTTCTGTGGTCTTCTCTCGTCCTCCCTGTCTCCAGAAGACGACGACTCTCTGTATCTGGTGAAGGACAACAGCCACAACAGCAGCTTTGAGCTGGCAGGATCCATGATAACCTCCTACCAGCCCATCAGTCATCAGCGCTCCGCAGGGAGGAGCATCTCCAACTCATCCATTTTCCGCTCCCCTTCTCCCTGCCTCTTCAGGCCCAGCTTCCTCAGCTCTGCCTCCAAGGTAAGATATCGAAATGTAATACTTAGAGTACCCAAATGTTATCAGTAAGGGTTTGAGTTCTCATAAGCTTCTTAAATCCACGTATGTGTACACTTTTACTGTCACAATTTCATTTATTTATTTGTCTGTTCATTAAAAACGCATAAAGATAAGATATGCACTCATAGACATTCTTGTAAGTGTACAGTCACACTTACACCGACTTATATTCACATTTGCATGACTTAAAAAAAAGACGAGAGCCTGTGCAGGAATGGTAGGAAGCTATAAGAATATAGAGATTTATAGAATAACTCATGGCAACATAAACCGTATGACTTTTTAATTGAAAATGCAGAAAAACAACGACGGAACATAAAAAATCTTTCTCCATTTATACAGTATGTTGTCATACAGTAACCCGTCATCTCTTTTACCTCCATCAGAGCTCAGGCAAACTCTCCGAGCCGTCTCTCTGCCTCCCCGTCGAGGACTCCCAAGACCTGTATGCGCCTCCGTCCCCAGGAGCAGATTCGGGGCCCCTGGGCGGAGCGGCCTCCCAAGGTCGCTTCTCCCTGGAGGACGACACCCACTCGCAGCTACTGGACGCGGACGGCTTCCTGAATGTGGGGCCGCGGTCCAGTGCGCCTCGCTCCCACAAGAGACAGCTGATCCTGGACAGCCTGGACGAGAATGCCATGGATGCCAACATGGGTGAGCTGTTTGGGCTGTGCTCAGGGGTTTTCGGGACAGCGGAGAGCGGCTCCGGCAGGGCGGGGCGAGAAGGCCTCGGAGCGTTGCAGGAGGACGAGCTGCTCGGGTTGTGCTCCGGAGCGTTTCCGCCGACACGGGCGGGAGGCGAGCGGAAGGAGACAGACAAGAGGGAGGGGAGAGGACGGGACGAGGAGTCTGATGATACCATGGATCAGCTGCTGGGCCTGTGTTCAGGGAAGTTTCCTAGTCCAGGTAAACAACTGTTCGCTGCTCCACCAGTACACTGTATTTTATTTTAAATCACCTACAGTGTATAAAAAGTAGATGTTATTGTACAGGGAGGGAAACTATAGCTCATCAATAAGAGCCTGATAAACTATGAGGAACTTGTATCGTAGGACGTACAGAGGTTTCCCATAAATACAAAACGCAACATTTAACCAAACAACAAAAGCGTATTACAAACGTATGTCACTATTTCTCCACTCTGTGGCGAAACACTCACATTTTGAGGTTTGAAAATGTTTTGACTTCCAGTTTCACAATATTGAGATTTGTCTCCTTTGCTGTCAATTTTAGGTTTTGCTCACACAGCCTCGTCAGCACAAGACAGGTACAGTTCAGACCTGAAAGAATCCAAATCAGAAAGATTTATATTTATTATTGTAAAAGATAACTTTTTATGATTCTTTACAAAACTACTCTCCTTGTTACTTTTTTTAATTTATTACTTCAGTCCCTTCTGATAAAGGATTAAGTGAATATTAATTGTAATATCAATATGTAACGTGCGGTTCTCATAGTGGTTTCTCTGTATAAAGTAAAAAGAAGCCGGAGGAGGAGGAAGAAGAGGAGGACTGCGAATTCCGGCTTCTGTCAGATGTGGAAAGTCCCAGTGAACAGGTAAGGTTGTCTCTGTAGTATAAATAACATGCTGGATGTACGTCTTCATGATGGAAATGACAAGTGGATTGTGGGGTTTGTAGGAGGTCGATGATGATGGTGCAGAAGGAAACGAGGCTGGTTCGGACGGAGACAATGACGTAGAAGAGGAGGAGATGCAGGGTGTCTTCGCATCTCAGCGGGTCAAGAAGAAGAAGAAGAAGAAGAAGAAGAAAATGTAAGTGTAGAATTAAACCTAGCACGTATGTAGCAACACACGCATACAAAGCTGATGTTTCACACGGTTCTCTTGGTGTTTGACAATATAGGAAAATCATTTTCATCACATAATCCACGCTGTAGCACAGATGTTAGCAGTTTTCTTGTCTTCTGCTCACAGGCGTTTGACCGACTACATGGAGTCGGAGGCTGAGCTGTCCGGCAGCGACCTGGGCAGCGACGACGAGGACGGCGACGATGAGAACGAGTACGAGGAGGAGGAGCTTCTCGAGGAGCTTCCCGCTGATGAAGAGCTGCAGGACCAGGTCAACAAGATCCACATGTGAGTGCAGCGTCCCGAGCTCGAGCCGCCTGAATGAAGGGTTTCTCCGGTCGTATTGGGAATACACTGTCGTAATAATGCAAGCCGGATGTCTTGCCTGAGAAATCAAACCGAGAGATGAAAATGTCCCACCGGCGTTGTTCCTACAGGAAGCAGATCATGGACGATGACAAGCGAGCACTGAGGTTCTACCAGGAGCGCTACCTCGCTGACGGAGACCTGCACTCTGACGGCCCGGGACGAGCTCGCCGCTTCCGTTGGAAAAACATCGGTGAGTTCGTGTCATAAACTGGTGGTTTCAACGAGAATGTGATGGGGTTTTAGACAGTAATTGTTAAAAGAAGGCATAACCCAAGTGTGTGAACACCAGGATTCTTAGTTTTACTTATTTTAATTAAATTCGGTCCACCGAGATAAACAGAAACACACACAGAGAATGTTTATAGTTGTGTGATTAACTATCAGGCAATAAGCTTAGATATACATGAATGAATAACACTAAATATGCATCAAAACTCAAAGTGTGTGTGTAGAGAAAAGTTCATCAGATCTTCTGTTTTTAGATTCTACAAACTTAACGAAGCTTCCTTCAAAGTCGCTCCAACAATCCATTTAGTTTCTTTTTGTATTCTTCCTCCCAGATGATAGTTTTAACGCGGACGGGACGGGAGCGGAGGGCGAGCAAGAGGACGACGATGAAGAGGTGGACCTGGCCGAGGTCCAGAGGAGGAAAGAGAGGCTGGAGAGAGAACAGTGGCTCAGAGAACAGGTAGCTTTAGAGTCCTTGCTCACAGGTAATAGTGAGGAGCCATTAACAAGAATACCTTTTGGAGTATCGACTGATTTCAGAATTCACCTTTTTGTAAATTCAACGCAGTAAACGTACAAAAGGGGATGTTGTCATTTTGTCTTCATACCTTTCTCTCTCTCTCTCTCTGCGTCTCCTCTCACAGTCTGAGCAAAAAGCCAAGAAAGGGGAAGATTTGGATGCGGAGGACGAGAAGATCGGAGAGGAAGACAGTCGCTTTATGAAGCTGGCCAAGAAGCTGACCGCCAAGACTCTGCAGAGAAAAGGTCGGTTTGATGTGAGGCCTCGCAAGAAGACTCCGTGACCTCAAAAAAAACACCCAGGCCTGCTGTTGTCCGATGATAATCACAGTCATAGGCTTCTGTAGTAAACAGATAGACAACACAATCACCAGATGGATGGTTGATGATCATCCAAGGTGTGATTAACAGTTTCCTGATTTATTTAGCAAAGAGAAAACGTCTAATCTTAGAGTCTCAGTGAGACGATTTTTGATCTGCTCAGCGCGTTGAGAAGACTGTCTAACTTCACCTGATGCGCTACAGAGCTTTAGAGATAAAGTAGAAACACACACACACACTGACATGTCTCCCAGCAAACTAAACTAACCCTGACACAGAGGGTTTGTGTGACTGGCCACTCTAGCTCAAATCCAAATGACAAAGAATATATAAACAAGATATCAGTCTGATATAAGGTTATTCAGTCAACTGAAGACATACATTAGCTTCTTTTTTTATACAAAGCACAGTTCTAAAGTCATTTACGTCGCTGTATCATGATGAAATCCTTTGAGGAATCTGAATATTTCGCTGTCTAACTTTCCCACTTTTCATACCAGAGCCCCCTGTGGCACCACAGTCAGAGAAGAAGACACCGGCTCTCAACCCCTTCCAGAGACCCTCGCAGCCCTCACAGGTAGACCACCGTCAGAATAGTGACTCTTGGTTTCATTTCATTTTCGTTTTGTGCAGATCAGATCTGTTCAACAAACAAAACACGATCCAAACCCGTTCAGAGGTAGAGGTGTGAGTGGATGTCTGCGATGAGCCTTTATCATTAGTTTTTATTTCACTTATGTCTGTCAAAGATCGATGTGAGACTTGTTTTATTGATCCGCTTCCAGGTGAGGAGAGGGTCACTGCTGAGTCAGCCTCAGGCCGTCCTCCAGAAGCTGGCTTCCATCTCAGAGGGGAATCCTCTGGCACCCAGAAACAGCAGAGGCTTCCTGTTCCAAACTCTGTCCCCCGAGAAGGACAAGTCCAAGTCGGACGCTCCCAAGAAGCAGGTGAGTCCTCGCACCCGTGCAGGTGTTGGAGCTGGGACAGAAGGATGCTCCACATGCTCTGGCACGCTCGTGCATGGATCCAAAGGATGATGAATGCTTTGTTTGTTTGGTTGGATAAATGTTTCAAAATGAGTAAAAGGACAAATGATGATGATGTGTTTTTGCAAAACGGGTGAAACGTGGCCACAGGACAACAATTTGCCCCACCACTGATCTTGAAAACAATAGGCTCATACAACTCTTCTCTGCTCTTTAAAAAGTCTGTGTTTTTCATGGAAATGCCACTTTGGTAGCTAATTTTAATAAATGCTGTGTCATATTTTCCAGCTGTTTCTTTTGAATGAAAAGAGTCATTCACTGCCCCTGACCATCACCCACTTTGATCTTCCCTATCCGTTCTGGTTTAGTGTTTTGATCTCGCTGTTCTAAAATAAGCCCAAAAACAAAATACTTTCCATAGATCGTGGACAGAGATTGCTCAGTGTGAGAGTCATATGAGTGTGTTGGGGGAATTTATAGATTTGAATGTCTTCTAGATTCAGGACACTAGGTGGAGCCAAAGGCCATGGTTTCTTTTTGAAACACTTTATTTAGTTTTTATTTACAATTCACCTTTTGATCCTCAGACGATGAAGAAGAGGGGGCCGGTGGAAGCAGTGAACCCAGCAGCAAAGAGGGTGTGCAGGGAGGACAGACCCACAGGACAGACTAAAGGCCCCCAGAGGAGCATCTTCAACTTCCTGGACCACTGAGGACGCGACACTACCGGCTGAATGATAATCTTCATCAGCAGACAAAAGGCCAGAATGGACCGGCCACATCCAGTATTTCACAAGCCAGCAAGACCTCAAAAGTGAAGTAGGTGGTAAAAGGACGGTTGAATGCCGAGGTGCCCTGTAGACGTCCTCTGCATTGCTTGTGAAGAATGAATACCGATGTGTTTACATGTTTACATTGCCTTAAAATGGCAAGCTAAAGCACACCACTGAGGCCCCTCTTCTTCCTCACATTCACTTCTCTAGTTGGGCTTGTGGTTACGCCAACAGACGCATTCATCCATCACACCTTACTTGACTTAATCTGGACGTTTTGACGGAGGTCCATTTTAAAAATGTTTTATCATGTAAATAGGATTGATTTGGTTTTTAATGGTTCGGGAGTTTTTTTTATACGATGATTTAAATGAATTTGTTTTACATTGTAAATAAAAGTGTATTTTAAGACATTGCTTTTGTCTTCTGTTGTCGGACCGGATGCAAACTGTGTGTGTGTGTGTGTGTGTGTGTGTGTGTGTGTGTGTGTGTGTGT